GAGAGACAGAGAGACAGAGAGACAGAGAGAGAGAGAGAGAGAGAGAGAGAGACAGAGACAGAGACAGAGAGAGAGAGAGTTTTTTTTTTAAAGAAAAACTAGGGCTGCCCAAGCCGGCTTTTCCTGGACACCAGAGCAATGGCCAGGCAGCACAGACAGGAAGGGGTCAAGCAAGAGCTTCCAGGACATCAGCGGTATGAGCTGGTCCAGGACTTACAGGTAGACATGAGACTATATTTCCTCAGGCAAGAAGCCCTTCAGCTTTTGGGATTCCAGGAAGCAACAGGCGGGCCATCATGTCAAGGGTCAGAGGCTGGACAGGAAAGGAGGAACCTGAAACAGAGCCCATCCAAGGAAGCCTCCCGGTTTTCTCAGGTAGCCAAAGAGCTAAGACTGAAAACCTCAAGCCGATCTGCAATACACCATCTTAAGAATCTTCTCTGGCTGCCCACATGTGCACACACCCACGTGCACACACACACACACACACACACAAAGTATCTTTTGCTAGAAATTGTAAAGACTTCCCTGGGCTTCTCAAGAGGGAACACTGATGACAGAGTGTGTGTGTGTGTGTGTGGGGGGTGATTCTGCCTCTTGAGTCATGCTCTCTTCTTCCCTCAGGCTCCATGAAGAGAAGCTCATCCACCTGTTCTCAGGGGAAGACGTATGGGCTGAGAAAGGCAAAACCCTAACTCAGAGGCAGAACTGCATTCCATCTTCCCTCCTCTCTCTCTGCAAGCGAAGCCATAACTCCAACTAAGTAGCTCGGGAGGCAGTTACGAGGCAGGCCACATGCTCGCCCACCATGTTCTAGGGTTGTAAATGCCACGCTTGGCTGCGTTGGGGACCAAGCGGCTCGTTAGCGGCAGCATTAGTGTTTAACGATGTGAGGAACAGAAGCTGCCAGGCACGGTGCTCCTCCTTAAAACGCCACTGAAAACCCATACGTGTAATTATTACACCTTCCCGTTAAATTCTGATTCCTCTAAAGCCAGTGGGCTGTGCATTCATTCAGCTTATAAATCTCAGGGATCTCTTCAAGGCTGTCTTTTACATAACTGGGCTAAAGATCTATCCATCACACAGGGGGACGTCTGGACTCCAGCCACTGATCTACCATTGCTGGGTTTTTTTCAAGAACTTGTAAGAAGGACATACCCCACAGCTTTTATCCTTTCCCCCACTCTTGTGGTTCTTAGTTGGCCCCACACTCACCTGACACCACTATTAAGAACATCAAATCAACCAGCAAACTCAATGGGGGGGGGATGTTTGAAAACACCATCCAAGTGACAGCAAGATGTGCTCTCAAGCTACCGAGCATTGGCAGAAACCTACCCATTAAAAACCGCTGGCATGCAAAGGGTTGAGATACTGCTGTATTCTAAGTCCAGCTTTCTCCTGTGTGTGTGTGTGTGTGTGTGTGTGTGTGTGTGTGTGTACATCCATGTGTACAGGGGCATGAGAATATGTGGGCATGTCGTTATTGAAGTCAGATGTCAACCTGACCGGCCATTCCTCAGGCGTTGCCCACCTAGTTTTTTGAGACAAGGTCTCTTACTGCTCTGAGCTAAGTAGCTGAGTGAAGCCGACTGGTCACTGAGGCCCAGGCCTCCGTCTGTCTCCACCCTCCCCATGCAGGGTTACGAGTTCGGGCACCTCCCTAAGTTCCTTTATGTGCGTTCTGGGCAAAGAACTCAGAAATCACTCCACCAACTGACATATAACCACAGCCCCATAACCAACTTCTGAAAGGAGTGTCTGACATACATACAGTCCCCTACAATGGGCTCCCACCACGCACAGAGCTTACAACATTGCTGGAATCAATGGAGCAACAGACCCTAAAGTCCTAGAGAGTCAACTCACATCCAAAGGCATGGCCTCTTGAGAGCAAACTGTGTCAGCGGGTGTCCACAGGTCCCTTCCAAGGACAATGTCCCTTCATGAAACCATGCTGCCCTCTATTCAAACCTAAGCCTCCTGCCGGGGCTCTGAAGATGAAGTAGGGGTCACTGTGCCTCTTTATTAATCTTCCCAATGTGGTCATAATGAGTAAGTCTCCTCTCTCTGCATTTCAATGCTATTTGTCTGCTTAATTGGCCTGTTGGAGACAGTGGCTGAGCCTGGCTTGTTAGAGGCACTAGCACCCAGGCTGTCAGCCTGAGAACTCTGGTACCATAACTGCTATGTAGTGTATATGTGTGTGTGTGTGTGTGTGTGTGTGTGTGGTGTGTGTGTGTGTGTGGTGTGTGTGTGTGTGGTGTGAGGTATGTGTGTGTGGTGTGTATGTGAGTGTGTTTGTGTGTATATGAGTGTGTATGCGTATCTGTGTGCATATATGTGTGTGTATCTGTGTGTATATATGTGTGTATGTGTGGTAGGTGTAATGTGTGTATGTAAATATGTATGTATGTATATGTGTGTTTGTATATGTGTGTATATATATGTGTGGTAGGTGTGGTGTGTGTGTATATGTATATTTGAGTATGTCTGTATGTGTATATGTGTGTGGTGTGTATGTGTGTATATGTGAGTGCTTGTACGTATGTGTATATATGTGTGATGTGTGGTGTGTGTGTGTATATACTTGAGTGTTTGTGTTTATGTGTATATATGTATGTTTATGTGTGTGAGAGTGTGTGTTTGTGTATGTATATGTATGTATGTGTGGTATGTGTGGTGTGTGTGTGTATATATGTGTGTATATGTGAATGTGTTTGTATGTGTACATGTGAGTGTGTCTGTGTATTTATATGTGAGTGTGTCTATGTATGTATATGTGTGTGTGATGTGTGGTGTTTACATGTGTGTACAGCTGAGTGTGTTTGTATGTATGTGTATATATGTGCGTATATTTATGTGTGTGAGTGTGTGTGTGTTTAGGCATGGGCTTGAGCCTGGAGCCTTGTACATGCTAGGTAATGGCTCTCCCAGTGAGCTCCCTTCTCCATCTCTCTGACTCACTCAGACAGGCATAGAATTCACAACATAGACCAGGCCTTGAACTTGTAATCCTCCTACCTCAGCCTCCCAGGAAGCTGGGATGACCACCACACATTGGTCAGTGACTGAATGTGAGCACCTCAGCAGTTACCTGATAAGGCCAGCATCTTGGCTTCCAGCAGGGCAGGCAGCCTGCTGTCAAGGTCACTGAGTCTCCTCCTCAGAGAGCTGCACAGCTTCTCACCTGAGCACACCTGCCGGGAGAAACCGGAGTCAGTGTCTGCTGCTTCCAACCAGAAGACAGAGGGGAATGGGGTTTGAGGGGGGTTGGGTCTCCAAGTAGCCAAGTAGATCAACAGAGTGAGCAGAGGAGGAGGGTTTAGGGAGCAACAGGTTAGAAGGAAAGCAGGAAAGGAAGTGGGGGTGAGAGGGAAGATGAGAAGAGGGGAGGGAAGAACAGAAAGGGAGGGAGAGAACAGTACAGAGAAGTAGGGAGAGGAGGGGTAAGGGGGGAGGAGAGAGATGGAGATGGGGGGTAGATGAGGAGAAGTGGGAGGAGGGTAGGGGAAGAGAGGGAAGGAAGAGATGAGGAAGGAGGAAGAGAGGCAGCTGTTGGTGTGGCCTCAGCACAGCCCTGACCCACATAGGCTGGTGTGAGCTCATGGAGCAGCCACAAGCCAGACAGAGCTATCACCGTCAGCCTCTGGCTTGGCATTTCCCTACTCCTGCCTGAGCTCTCGGAAACTCACAAGGTGCCCCTGGGAGAAAGGCCTTGATGATTTCTGGCTCCTCACCTTCACCCCAATCTCCTCTACCTTCCCCTCCAGCTGACAGTTGTCTCATCTGTCTATAATGTCTATGACCAGGACTCTGCCTCTGGTACACAGTAGGCAGTCCATGATCAGGATTCTGCCCCTGGCACACAGTAGGCAGTCCTCCATGAGCAGGACTCTGCCCCTGGCACACAGTAGGCAGTTCATGATCAGGATTCTGCCCCTGGCACACAGTAGGCAGTCCTCCATGAGCAGGACTCTGCCCCTGGCACACAGTAGGCAGTCCTCCATGAGCAGGACTCTGCCCCTGGCACACAGTAGGCAGTCCTCCATGAGCAGGACTCTGCCCCTGGCACACAGTAGACAGTCAATGAGCAGGACTCTGCCCCTGGCACACAGTAGGCAGTCAACTAAGATGTGGCTTTTGACATCGAGGTCAGAGGTGCCTGCTGAATTTCCTTTATTAGAAGACTCTAAGAAACCAGGAGGGCAGATACTCACTGGAAAGTCAGACAAGTCACCTTCAGGAAAATTTGGGATTATTGTGTCCTCCACACCTGGATTCAACACACACCACCTGTTTTTCTTTGAGTTCCAAAAACTGCAAAACCCTTCAACCTCAGTCTCATTCCCCAAATTCTGTCAGGTTATCTTTTATGCCGAGACTAAATCATCATCTTTTTTTTTATTTTATTTAAGGCTAAAAGTTCATAGTTACCTGTTATCTGTACTCAGATTAATGATAAACTTATATTTTCATCTCACCCAAAGCACAGTTACTGTAGGGATGAAAGTAGTGAACACTTTGGGAAAGTCCACGTGGAACGTAACACCCCCTGCCAAAGCATTGTTATTTATTATTGCCAACATTAAAGTATATGAAATCCCACTCAGGAACTGAAAGTTGTCGGTCCACGTGGAGTCTCCATCTCGAGGGATACAGTTATAATTGTAAACATTTGGCTTATCTGAGATCAAACCAGAAGCTGCCATCAGAACCAAAGCAGACCTCACCCGGTCCTGAAATGTTCCACCCTCCTCTCCTGGGCTGCTGTTTACTTTCCCCTCTCTGCTTGGGATTTTCCAACCACACTTCAGAAGCTCAGGGCCGAGTTGGTCGGCCCCTGCACGGAAGCCTACCCCAGCTGCTCGTCTGCACAGCCAAAGTCATCCATCTTAAGGATCTTAAAGGGTCCTGAGACTTGTCCAGTATGTTAGAACTAAGAACTCAAAGAAAGGTGTCCGGGACACCTTCCTCTGGCCCTGTTGAAGTTGGTTCAATGCCTGTGACAGGCTCCACCCATCCTATCCATCCACAGCCATCACCTCAGGAACTTCAAAGACTGGCTGGTTAACTCTGTGACTGACGCCAGCCAGAGTTCTCGGGTCTTGTCTAATATCTCTGATTTTAGTTAACAGTGTCTCTTAATCATAATTAGGTCAGTTTCTCCTTTGCCGAGAAAGCTCATAATTCAAGCTGTACTATTAATGTGAAGCCGCCTTTCTACATTTCCTGATTAAACTGTGCACTCGTTCAGTCTCTGCTGGATATAATATAATACCTACCCGTCTCTAGCTATCCCAATTATTTCAAACATTTCCATCTCGTTTATCCCTTAATTACCTTTGGTTTGGGTGACCCATGAGAGTTAAGAAATGTAATGAGCGTAAGGAAGGTCCCAACTCACTCTGAAAATATCAGGGGTTGAGCGTGTGTGTGTGTGTGTGCATGTGCGTGTGCACGTGCATGTGTGTATACTAAAGAAAGAAAACTGTGTTGAGCTGAACCTCTTCTCTCAAGGTCATTTGCCAATCTACAGGGGACAGGGTTAAGGTTAGACTTCCAGGCTCTTTCTCAGTTCCCATACAGCATACCATGTTCATGTACGTGCAATGGAATACACATTCCCACCTCAGAAAAATCTGCATGCCTTTCTTATTTACAAATAAAATTAGCCCCCGAGGAACTCATTAATGAATGGAAGTTTTACATTTACATTTTAAAATCTAAGGCACAGCTCCTTAATTTGGCAGAAAAGCAAAGTCATTATAAGTGTACTATAAATACTTAAGAGACAGGGTATGTAATGGCGTGAATGCTTGGGTCCCCCAAAATTTCATGTCCTGAAACCCTCAGCCCCAGTAGGATAATGGGATTAAGAGGGGGCTCTGGGAAGTAACAGGTCCTGAAGGTAGAACCTCGTGAAAGTATCGGTGCCCTTAGCAAAGGGCTGGGGGACGGTGGCTCTGTCAGTAAAAGTGCTCGATTTGTAAACATGGGGACTGAGCTGGGCCCACAGAACCCACGTAAGCGGCACATCATAGCACAAACCTGTAATCCCAGAGCTGGAGAAGTAGAGACTAGAGAGTCTCTGGGGCTTGCTGGCTGCCAGTGTAGCCTAATTGGTAAGCTCCAGGCCTCTGAGAGACCCTCCCAAAGGAGGTGGGTGGTGTTCCTGAAGGTAACACCTACATTGTCCGCTAGGTGCACACACACAACAATAATAATAACAATAAATAATAATAATGATGAACTTGGAGAGCCCTCTTGTTCTCTTTCCCTCTTTCCATCATATAAAGATACAGCATGGAGTTGGCCATCTGTCCCTCGGAAGAGATCCCACCAGAACATGGCCATATTGGCACCTGGCCCTCAGCCCTCCAGCCCTGAGAGCTGCCGGGCCTCAGTGTTTTGCAATCACAACATACAAAGACAGAAAGCCCTCCTAACATTTAGAAAAACACAGTGTCCTCAAGGTCTCTGGTAATGGTCTGCCTAGCCCATGACTGAGCCAGGCAAAACAAGAAACACACCTCACTCCTCCCTCTGGCTGAGCAGCCAGAAAGCTCATGGGTTGATCTCAAGCCTTTTCTGGCCGTGTGTATATGTCTCTGTGTGTGTGTGTGTGTGTGTGTGTGTGTGTGTACACGTGTATATGTGTGTATGTGTGAATGTGCCTGTATGTGTGTGTACATGTGTACATGTGTGTGAGGCTGAATGTTTATAAAAGCATGTGTGTATACACACATGTGTATATGTGTGTTTTTGTGTGTATGTATATGTACACACATGTGTATGTGTGTGTGCATGTGCCTGTATGTGTATGTGTGTATACATGTGAGCATGTGTGTGCATGTGTGTGTCTGTATGTGTGTGTACATGTGTACATGCGTGTATGTGTGTGCGTACGAATGTGTGTACGTGTATGTGCATGTTCAGGTGTTTGAATGCACGTATGTGGAAGCCAGAGGTTAACTTTGGCTGTCTTCCTCAGTTGCTCTCCACATTTTTCTGACAGAATCTCTCAGGACCCAGAGCTCACTGTTTCCTCTAGCCAGGCTGCCAGTGAGCCCCAGGGATCCTTCTGTCTCTGCCTTCCCAGTGTAGGATTATGAGTGTGTGCCACAGCGCCCACTCTTTACATGGGCTCTGGGAGCGAAACTCACGTGCATGGCAGACAGCTTACTGACTGACCACTTCCCCAGTCCTGCAGCCTTCCTATCTCTGGTCATGAAAAACAACCGATATTTCTCCCAGGTCAGAGGCTCCACTCAGAAACTACTATTCTACATCCTTGTCCTTGTGGAGCCTCCAGCTCCCAGCGTTGGAGTGTCCAGGTCCAGCTGTCCATCTGCACACCTCAAAGCAACTCCCAGGGGGTCTGGTCCCACAGCTCTGTCAGGTATGACCACAAGGGAGGGCTCTGCTCTGTGAATGCTTTATCTAACAGCTAGGATGCAGACTGTGGTGCTCAAAGAACACCTACTAGGGGAGCACAATTGGGGAGCACTGGGGGACCTGACTTGGGGAGCACAATTGGGGAGCACTGGGGGACCTGACTTGGGGAGCACAATTGGGGAGCACTGGGGGACCTGACTTGGGGAGCTCAATTGGGGAGCACTGGGGGACCTGACTTGGGGAGCACAATTGGGGAGCACTGGGGGACCTGCTGCTTCACATAAGAAAGTCTTGCTTCAAGAGTACAGACAATGTGATGGTTAATATTCAGTGGGGTGTTTGTTGAGATGGGGTCTTACTATGTAGCCTTGAACTGCATGGAACTCACTTACCACGTAGACTAGGCTGGCCTCAAACTCAGAGATCTGTCTGTCTCTGCCTCTCAAGTGCTGGGACTAAAGGCGTGAGCCACCACACCAGGTTAATATTGACTGATAACTTGTCAGGATGTAGAATCACCTAAGAGACCATCTCTGAACATGTCTTCACGGTGGGGTCAAAGATTTGGGAGACCAACCCTCGCTGTGGGCTGCACCATTGCATGAGCTGCGATCCTGGACTGAATAAAAGGAGAGAGTGAACTGAGCACCAGGGTTCACAATCTTCTTCCTGTCTGTGGGTGCCATGTGACCAGCTGACTCAAGCTCCTGCCGCCATGCCTTCCACGGCGTTAGATGAACCCTCACTTGCTGAACCAGATTAGCCAGTGCAGCCTTTCCTCCATGAAGGGGGAGATGCTGCGTTTGCCCAGCGTGTCATCCTATGATGAAAAAAGTAACTAATCCAGATGACAAATGATGCTTGCAAAATGACCCAAAGAACATAAAAACAAAACTCTTCATCCACTGACCCACTGACCCACTGGCCCGCTGACCTGCTGACCCGATGACTTGCTGACTTGCTGACCCCGCTTCCATTTCTGAGAAGCCTGAACTTGAGCTCCCAGGAGAAGCCAATTACTTCCATCCTAGAATCTTTGTTCATTTATTCATTTGTGACAGCATCGTACTGCGTAGCTCAGACTGGTCTTGAACCCTTGATCCTCCTGCCTCTGCCAATAGAATGTTGAGACTGAAGCTATGAGGAGCTACATCCAGCTCTAAAAAGGCACTCAGCACTTCCTGCACCATCCTTTCCCAGCCTCTGGGCCAAAACCCCTTCTGAATCCAAGGTCAAGCATCCATTTGGAAGTGGCAATGGGTGGAGAGCTCTGTAGAGAGAATATCTTGTATATTGTAAGAATGCATCCATCACCTATCAATTAAAAAAACCCTACGGCCTATAGGAAGGGGTAGAATAGAAGGTGGGATATCCGGGAGGCAGAAAGAACTCTGGGATAGAGCCAGAAGAGGGAGATTTACCCATGAAGACGTGACCAGTGGGTGCATGGTACCTGAACCCAGGTAACCAGCCACATGGTAGAATGTAGCTCGGAATAATAGGTTATATTAAGTTATGATCTAGTCAGAGAAGAGCTAAGCTATAAGGCCAAGGTATTTGTGAATATATTTTGAGTCTGAGTCTTATTTCTGGGAGCATGGGGCCTGGAGGAAGAACCAGACCTAACGTCAACAGACCTCCCTTAGAGCCTGCAGCTCCTCCTCCCCAGCTCTGCCTCTCTGCCACAGCCTGGCAAACAGCTTCACAAAATCTGCTTCCTCTAAAGCCCTTGGTGATCTGGAATCAAAATTAGGTCGGAAGGAAATGGGAGGAAGGTGGGCTTACCTGCGCAGTGAGTTCTCTGACAGCCAGGTTCAGTGATTTTGTCCTTTCCCGGAGGCTAGAAGAATTAGAAAGGATTATCGGTCTTCTCATTCCATACATAGGTGGGACTCTACATATAAGACACTCCCGAGAGAACTGTCCATCACCTGAGGAGCTGAGGAGGAAGAGGAGGAGGAAGAGGAGGAGGAGGAAGAAGAGGAGGAGGAAGAGGAGGAGGAGGATGAAGAGGAGGAGGAGGGAGAGGAGGAGGAGGAGGAGGAGGGGGAGGAAGGTAACACCTGGCTGGGCTGACATGACCGTGGAAGTAACCCGTGTCTAGGAAGCAGATCCCCCTCTCTAAATATGTCCTACTTAGGCCACCATTAAAATCTGTCTTAAGGGGCAGGGAAATGGCTCAGTCAGGACAGTGATTGTCACACAAGTCTGAAGTCCTGAATTTGATTCCCAGAACCCACACAAATAATCCAGGCACAGTGGTATACATTGTACCCAGCACTGGAGAGGTGGAGACAGGAGGATCCCTGTGGTTCACTGCCAGCCAAGCCTACTTGGTGAGTTCCAGACCTGTTGTTGCAAAGACAAGTGAGCCAGACAGAGGGGCACACATTTGTACCCCAGCACATGGGAGGCAGAGACAGGTAGATCTCTGTGGATTTGAAGCCAACTTAGTCTACATAGAGAATTTCATGCCAGCAGGGCAAACACAATCTGTCCTTATTCCCAGAGCAATACTGAGAGGTGCCACCTGGTTGCAGGAAGCCCTGAGCCCTGTAACTAGCTTCCTACAGGAGAGGACACTGGCAGGGAACCATTGGCATCTGAGTGGGCCACAGCGTCAACAATTAGAGGTAATACAGTCAGTGCCTCTACATTGAGCCTCAGTGAGAACAAACAGATGCATATTTCATATTTCTCAAGCATGTCTTATTCAGCCGGAATTCCTCCTCCCAGGTGTATCTGCAGCACACCGGGATAGCTATGAGTACCCCAACACATTATCAAGTTACTTAAAACGTTATGGGATGGTTTGGGAATTTGCTGTATCAACCTTGTAGGTAACAGCATCTGCCACAAGGCAAAGAGCTGGACATGGCTGTGGGTGTGTCAGCTTTGCCTTCTTTTCCTACTGAGTACTTCTCCTCACATACTGCTTCATACATGCACTCTCTCCCCAAACAGTGATGGGATGTGAGTTCCATGTGATCACCATCCCTTTCCTGGGTTCACTCCCTCATGTGATGGACCCAAATGCTTCTTTGGCATGCACTCCATCAAAACTTGGGCATTTATGAATATGTGAGGCTACAACTGTGATCTGATTCTATGGACTGAGATCTACAGAAGAAATGTGTGCTAACAGCAACCAGGACATAAAGCAAGACACACTGATTCCATTGAGGGGAAAAGGCCAATGCTGGGGGTTGTAGGGGGATATCTAGAAAACGGTTCCCCGGTCCAGCTTGTTCCTGGGCAGCCACCCCAGCATGTTCCCGCTGCTCCTCGGCTCTGACCAGGGCTCTGGCTAGCTAGATGTGTAGGCCCTGGCATCCATGAGACGCCAGCATGGGGGATGGCTATACCAATCCACCACTGTATCCAGAAAGCTCAACTGAACCCCAGACAACATCTGCCATCCTCACGGTACCTGGTAGAAATGAGACTCTTAAAGCTTAATGATTATCTAAAGGATTTATATATTTAGAAATGTTCAATCAACAAGATGCCCACACAATTAGAGTTGTTACCCAATATTTAACCTTTTGATAGAAGTTGACACCCAGGACAGCTTTTGACCCATCTGTGGTTCTCCATGGCTGATAACCTCCTTCTTCTCCTCCCCTTCCTATATTTCTCCCCTCCCCTTCCTCTTTTTCTCACCTCCCCTTCCTCTCTTTCTCTCCCAGCTCCACCTCCTCTTCTACTGCCTAATCACTGAGCTCCACTACGAATACAATGTAGCAGAATAAGTATCCTGCTACAGGGAATCTGGAGGATATCCAATAAAAACTGTCAGAGGCAGGATACTTATGGTGCCAGTCACTTTCAGAGCAGTGTAAGAGATATGAGCGATTGGTAGAAAAGCTTACAGGTAGAGGCAAAGGCCAGAATGAGATTGCAGAAGATGAAACCAACTGATCCTCACGGTTCACAGTGAGGTGTGCGTGCGCGAGATCAATAGGGGAGCAGTCACTGATAACATGAAGTATCTTTGTTAGTGCTTCTGTCACTGTGACGAATACCATGACCAGAAGCAAGTTATCATAGTGACAGAAAACCTTGGCGGAAAGTAAATTATTACTACAAAGAGAAATACCATTTGGCTTACACTTCCACACCATTGTTCATCACTGAAGGAAGTCAGTGCAGGAACTCAAGTAGGGAAGGAACCTGGAGGCAGGAGCTAATGCAGAGGCCATGGAGGACTGCTGCTTACTGGCTTGTTCCCCATAGCTTGTTCAGCCTGGACCAGCGGTACTCAGGGATGGTACTACCCACCCACAATGGACTGGGCTGACCCCCATCAATGACTAGTAAAGAAAATGCCCTACAGCCCGAACTTACAGAGGCATTTTCTCAACTGAGGCTTCCTCTTCTCTGATGACTCTAAATTGTGTCAAGTTGATATAAAGCTAGACAGCACAGAAAGTGAGTGGTGGAATGGAATAAGCCCCACCCAAGAATAGGAAGAGCTTCAAGTCAATAGGGAGAAATGCTCATGTTTTTTTGATCTCAGCAGTAAGCAAGTAACTGCCGGCCATCTTTAGAATACTTATGATGACTTATGTTTAGAATATTCATGGTGGTCTATGGAGGCCAAGTTATGGTTGGTATGACGCTCCAAGTTAAGGAGCTTCTGGCTTGGTCAAAGGAAACTCATCCTGCGTTTGTTTGCACAGGCCAATAGGGAGGAAGCATTTCTAGTTTTAACGGAGTGGCACTCTGAGAGATTGCTTGGAGGATAGAAGTCTGAATATGGTTGAATCAGGCAGATGCATCAATTGGAAGCTGTTAAGGGTCTGGGAGCCTGCAGAGAGCTGAGGATCAGAGAAGTGGAGGAAGAGGTCTGAGAAAGCAGGCACACAGGGAGCAATAAGAACACCCTAACTAGAGACCATTGTTCCATGGACTTGTGTCTTGCTTATTCTTTCAACACCTTAGGGCAGTCAGCCACCTAGAACTCACAACAAGACACAGCCCCTGGCCTCAACCACTTATGGCTGCTAGGAGGGCAAGATGGTGTGGCCGGTGCAAGGGGGAGTGCTCTCAATACAGGGGCGTCTGCAAGAGAAAAAGGTAACAAGGGGGGCGTGCTCTCTAGATACAGGAGGTCTGTAAAAGAAAAAGATCCCAGTTTCCAGGATCTATGCTGGAGTAGGGAGGCCCAGAACAATCTTCCACCGTGTGGATAGCAAAAGTATAACTAAGAGGTTAACTACCACCAGTCGATGCATGTTGGGGTTCTTCTCCAGCTATCAAAACCATTGGGGATGTTATCTCTACACTTTTGTGATTCCTGAAGTCTGGGCAAGCTGGGGTTGCAAGCTCCTAGAGACTGCCAGTTATTCTCATGTGTAACTCACTTTCACCAAACAAGGAGCCACTGGTGAGAGTAAAATCAACCCAAACACAGTGAGCACAGACCAGGGCCGGGGCATGTGACAGACAGTGAGCACAGGTGGGGGGGGCGGGCAGGTGCAACATCCTCTTCTGAGTCACATGTCACCAACTGGCAAGCATGGTTCCACAGACAGGTACAGGGTGGAAGCCTGGAGCATTCCAGACCTTGGTTAGATGGAGACAGGTCATTTGAGGGAAGGTTCGTCTGGGTGTTGTTGAGGAATTTTAATCCAGCAACATGACTGCTCTGGCAAGGAATCACATCCAAAGACATAGGTCTGTGTGATTTGGCTGGAATGCAGACATGTCCTTAGAATACACCTTTAACCTCAGGATAGAATGCAGACACACCCTTAATACACACTTTTAGGTAAAATTAGATTGTAGAAGGAAACAGCCATGTTTGGAAGTGATGTCTAATTGAGGGGCAGACAAAGTGATGCATCAGAGAAAGATCTGACAGACTGAGTCAGATAAGAAACACCCAACTCTCAAAGAACAGACAGGAAAGAGACAGCATGGGGGAAAGAGAGAGAGTGAGTCAGTAGGGAGTCATTGCAGTGAGTGCAGTGCAGTGGAGTTGAGTTTGTTTGTAAGCTTATGCAGTTCAGTGCAGGTCAGCAGAGGCAGTTAAAGTCAGAGAATAAGAAGAAGCCAGAGAGTAGAACAAATTTGCCAAGCAGAGCAATTCAGTGAGAAGCTGAGAGAAGCCAGATTGAATCAGTCACCTGTGAATGGAGTTTGAGCCAGAACAGCTGACTTGAACTAGCCAGCCAGAGTTCAGAAAGAACTAGAAAGAGTGAGCTTATTTAGCAGTAAGTCTATAAGACAACAATTACATCAGGTGAATGAAAGATACATTTTTACAGGGTATAAAGATACTTTTTTAACAGGTGTCTGCTTATGTGAAGAGCAAGACAGGAACAGACTACTTGGACTGCTGGAGAGATCGGGGCAGAACCTGTCACACAGGGCTTGGTTCGAGACTCAGTACTGGTTCTGGAGCCTGATATCCACACTTGTAACTCTTCATCAGCAATTGTTTTTCCTTCTTCTGCCAGGCTCATAGGAGTCGATTCAAACTGTACATTTTTGTTTGCTTGTCTTTTTGACAGGGTTTCACACAGATCAGGCTGACCTTGAACTCACTCTATAGCTCAGAATGACCTTGCAGTCCTGACCCTTTTGTCTGTGTCCTGAGTGCTGGGATTACAAGAGTGTACCATGACACTCAATGTTTGTGGTGCTAGGGTCAAACTTACAGCTTGCTGATACTGTTTAAGTACCAGCTGAGCTCCATCCCCAGAGCTCCATCCCCAGCCTATCATCTGGAACTCTCCGAATCAGTGGATCTCCACATAACAGAACCTTTGAGCATTTAATAGCACAGTATGTGTGTTCCCAAACACACTCAGAAATCAGCTCATGGGTTTACAC